ATCCACATCCCATGTTATCATCCTCTTCCTTTACATAAAACTTATTAAAAAAACATCAAAAACAACACAACAACAACAACGACAACACATCCAACAATATATACCATTAGTTTGTCAAACAAATTACATCAATAGTTATATTGGTATCATTAGGAGGACACAAATATAAAAAAGACAAAATTTTCACTGTAAGTGTGTCTACATGAGAGTGTGCACCCACCCACCCACTTTCATATCCACCACCCTCTAGGAAATATACAGAGAGGACCAACAGTCAAAATCGAGGACAATGAAGCTTGTTAAAAATGATTGTTACTAATAAGTGAATGTGTGTCTATGTAAAAAAAAGTCACAAGAAATCAAATCTACACATGTAATCATAATAATAACAATGGAGATGATGATGATGATGATGATGATAAGATGACAAAGTATTATATTATTTTCAGCCAATTTACAAGTTTACATGATATCATCCAAGTGGGTGGATGCTGAAGGATGTTGAGATGAGGATGATATTGAAAAAGTCACATCACCATCATCATCATCATCCAAAAAGTAAGCAACATGATAAACAAGAAGAAGACAAAAAAAAACATAACTGATGATTTTGAGAGAGAGAGAGAGAAGGAAAAAGATCACGTGTCTTAAGGATGCTGATACTATTTCCTATCATCAGCATCTTTGTCATCCGCATCATTTGATAAATAAAAGCATTATCATCCTCATCTTCATCTCTTCAACATTCAAAATGATTTATTATCACCATAATAACTTTGATTTCCTTTCATCATATTATTACATATACATAACATTTTACATATCCAGTGATACCACCAACACCACTGCCTCATCCTCATCATCATCTTGATCCACCCTCCCCACCACCAACACTGATTATCATCATGTACTTGATTGCTTAACCTAAATAACAATGGTGATAATCAAATGCAAATAAAAAGCATCAACCATTTAAAAACTGTAATTTATATCCCTAACCTTTAACCTCAAATTATCATGACAATATCATTTGCTATTCATTTACTATTGAAATGATGACAAAGATTAAGATGATGATGATAAAAGATGATAAAAGATGATGAAAACTTTTCAATGGACATTAATTTGCAATTTCCACTTGAAGATGATAATCTTATCTCATGAATACCCTGATATTTATTACTAACCAATGAATATTATCACTGGTCATCTTCATTGACCATCATCAATTTTCAATGTTACTTGAAACTGTTTATTCTGCTTTTGTTTTTATTAATGTAACTTGACCAATGGTCATTTAAATGTACATATATAAATAACTTTTCCCTCTTTCTTCATGGTAAAAATCATAAAAAGTCACAAATTTGATCTGATGATAAGTTAATTGTTGTGATAATTTATCACTTCCTATTTACCAACAATTTATCTGATAAACTCAATGGTTCTCATCTGAATATTATCATTGAATGGGAACAAAACGAAAAGTTGTAAAAAAAAAAGTTCTAAACAAAATCTTTCACTCATCAAACTGACCAATAGATGGACACAATTAAAAGGTAAAAAAAAGGAACCAAAAAAATGTTGTAATGGTCAACAAGTTAAGTTAAACTGACCAATGTGTTTACAAGTAGATTACTAAACAATTATTTACAAAGGCCTCTGAATTATGATGATTACGATGATGGACTTACCTGGACTTTGTTTGTCAAGGACATTTTTCTCAAAAGGTAAATAGTAATCATAATTACTGATGATAATGATGATAAGGAAGATAATTCAAAAGCAGGAACCTCTTAGAGGGATAAATTTGATCCCCATAGATTATGAAGTAATCAACATTTAACCCATGGACGTAAGGTTTTACCTTTCATCATCTTTATCATCCTCTTGTTAATTAAGGGTAATTTAAGGAGTCAGATATGATGATGAGGAAGATAATGATGATGATGATGATGAGGATGAGGATGATAAGACTTACGAGCCAGGTGAGGAAGTTGATCTAACCAAAGTTAACACACTCAGGCAACAGGATAAGTTAAAAAAACAGCAGAAAAAAAAACTCAGGTAAAAAAAGCATCACCTTAATGAGCTGGGAGGAGTTGATTGTTACCTGTGTCTATGTGTGTGTGTGTGTATTTATAAACAATTCATAATAATCATGTTAATTAGGATAATTATGATGATGATAATAATGATGATAAGCCTGTGTGAGTTGATTATTATGTGAGAGGGATCATCAACAATCATTGTCAACATTTAATTCACATATGCAGCCATCTTGTTAACATGTTTCACCTTGTTCACAGGTATTTTTGGTGCCATGGGTGATGAGGATGATGAAGATGATGATGATAATAAGCTGACCCTTAAGGCGATGATGATGATGATGAAAGGAAAGAGATGATTATTATTATTGCTTCTTATTGTCACTTTAATATCTTTTTACCTTGTTGATTGTTTATCTTTCTTACCTTGTAAGTGATTATCATTTATCTGAGTATGATGATGATTAATTAATGTAAAAAGCTAATTAACTAATCATCATCATCAAAAGTGGGAGTAAAGAGGTGACAATTTTCAAAGTGCAAGGTTATCACCATCAGAAAGTTAATTGGAGACACGAAAAGTTAGAAAAAAAAATTTTTTTTTCTTCATCTTTTTTGTTTCTAATTATCAACTTACCTTAATTTTTAATTGTTGTCGCGCTTAACTGATTTAAAACTTTAATCTGGAAAAGATTAACTAATTATCATATTAATTATTGTATTAAGAGAGATCAAGTTTCTCAAGGTAACATTTATCATCTTTCTCATCTCTTGATGATGACAAAATGTCTTTGCTTCTTAAGTTTCTCAATGTAAATGTAATCAAAATGTCACAAAATTGAAGGAAGAGTAAAAAATTTTCTTCCCAAGTTATTGCCAAGTTATTGGTCAGTTATTGATGGACATTTACCTAACTGACCTTTTCCACTCAATATCATCAACCAACTCATCAGCATCTTCATCTCTCCGGTGGTCAGTCTGGTTAATCTGTAACACTAAACGCTTACTGATGTTATAATATATTGTTTACCAATGTTTATATACTGACCACTTGGTTGACCAATTGGTTACCTTTGGGTTAGTTATTATTATTTGCTAGTTTTTGATTTACTTTGAACAAAAAAAAAAGCTTTCATTATGTTTAATATTATTTATGATGATTAAGTTACAGTTGATTTGTTTATACCTTTGACCTCTCGACCTCTTCCTTTAACCTTCATTGACCATATGTAGAAACCCATTGATAATTATAATGTTACAAACAAACAAATATATTTACCTTTGTCTTTAATTGCTGATAATCAAGGTAACAATCAGGTAAATCATTGGGGGGAAAAATAAACAGTTAAATTGTTACTGATTGTTGTAAGAGTAAAATGATTTTGGTTAACAATTAACAACCGGAAATCAGGTAAACCAGCTTGTTACCTATCGGTTGATTGCTTGATAGTTTATTAATCATTAATCAAGAATAGGTAACAATTTAGCAACAATTGTACTTATATATAAATGTAAACTCAAATAATTAACTTTAATTGTGATAAAATCAAACAAACAGAAAGATAAACAGATTCAAGTATTAGGAAAAAGTATTGAAAAAAAAAACAATCAAACATTTACTTTAATCTTGACCAGTTAACTGATTGACCAATACAAAATTACATCAAGTTGATATTATTAATAAAAAAAGTGGAGAAACAAAATTTAAATTCATTTACATTCATTTAAGTTACATTACTAATTAGCCTCAGGGTAAAATACTTACTTTATCATCATCATCATTATTTTCATCCTCATCTTCATCTCTACTATTTGATTTACCTGTCATCACCTTTATAATGATGGTTTCTTAATAGTAGTCAGATTGCTCCTTCCGGTCAATTTTAGTTTTACTCTTAAGGTCAAGATAATTGATTGCAATTGGTTATCATCATCATCATCATCATCATCTTCATCTTCATGATTATTTATAAGGTTGTTGAAAAGTCCCAATGAGCGTGTATGTGTTGTGTATTTAAACCAGACCGTGAAAATTGACTTTCATTGAATGGACATTTAGGGAAAGTCCACCTTGTTACCTTGACCAATGATTAGAGTGAGAGTAACTTTTTTTTTCGTGTTTCTCTCTCCTTATTTCACCTCAGGCTATTTGTTCATTTTTTTTCTCTACATTTGTTTTTTTCTCTCTTTCCTTTAACTTTTCCTTCCTGTGACTTTTTTTTTTACTTGCAACATTGTTGTTCTTGCTAATCATCATTTGTAAAGGTAGACAGGTAGGTAAGTAAGTAGGTAAGTAAACAAACATAGAGAGTAAGTGAGTGAGAGAGAGAGAGAGAGAGAGAGACAGAGGTCATCATCTTCATCTTCATCATCATCAAATTGTAACATTGTAAATAAGCAATTGAAAAAAAAGCAAATACAAAATTATATATCATTTTATGCAAGGATGATGATAATCATCACACTGACCATTTGCAAATGTTTACCTGGTCATTTGCATAATTATTAACTTGACCACTTAATATATTTACCAAATAATTGCATTCTTATCATCATTCATTGATGAAGATGAGGATGATTACTGAGTAAATATCTAGTTGCAATTTCTTGACCAATTTTTCAGCCTTCATCTTGACTTTTTTTTTTGTTTAATTCCGATTCGCAATTTACTTAATCATTTCCGTGAGAAATTGTTAAGACAAAACAAAATTAACTGATCATCATGATAACCCAATGAAATTTTTCATATTATTATCCAACTGATTAGTGTTAATCTTTAATCCTAATCACTTACATGGATTGTGATTCTCATTGTTAACCTTAAATTGCCCCAATTCACAGTTACTTTTACATTTGTCATATTGATTGTGTATTTAGACAGAGGATTTATCTTATTATCAGCTGTCTATCAATCTTATCTTCATCATTATCATCTTCATCCTTTTGGATGATATTTTCAACTCTCTCAATCTCCCATTCATCAGATTAATACCTTTGATATTTGCCCTTTTAACCTAATGGTTAATCATATGGATCCAAATGTAACAATCAACAACAGTTAAAAAGGTTGTCCCTCTCACTAATCACAATTAAATATATGAGAAGTGGTCATTCAATGATTTAGTTAATTTAGTAAATAACAATCAACTCAAAAAGGTAACAATTTAAAAGGTTATATTTGAATTAATTGAATTAGCAAACTGTTTATATTTTCATTTGTTCAAACATCAACTATTGTTAATTGTGATTTGTTAACTTTAATTTTCATTTTGATTAACCATTTTTAGATGTTGATTAACGTTTTATCAACAATTAACCGATTCATTATTAGTATTACAATTTATTGATTGTGCTGTTCATTTAATTGTTGACTTATTTTAATTTGTTTACTGTTTTCTTTGGGCTATTTGTTTAAGGATTACAATTACAAAATGATTACATTGATTGTTGGTCAACAATTTCAACTTTTATCATTTTTCATGTTAATTGAATTGATTATAACAATTAACTCAATTGAACTAATGGTCAAGGAGGTAACAACAACAACAACAGATGACCATCACAATGATCAATATAATTTCAATCAAACAAGAGTAAGTATAATGTTAAGCAATTACAAAAGAGAATTTTGAAAATTTTCAAACTGACCATTAGTGACCATCAGTAGATGACCAAACCCTTTTAGGTCAAAATGTATTGTTTCATTTGTATTTTTTTCCCATAAACATAAATAGACAAACTATTGACCATAAAGAAAAAGTGATGACCTTTGTTTTTGACACACTTACAGATGACCATTGATCCATTCGGACAGTGACCATTATAAGTTAATGTTGATATGTGGTTGACAATGAATAATCAGTTTCAATGATGACCACATTTAATTTGTCCAATTGATGATGACCATTGATAACCTTCATCTTCTCAATCTCTTTCATTTATGTAGTTTAATTTGATTTAATTCAAAATCTGATAATTTGATACCTTTAGTTACACACATAGAGACACGTGAGGTCAAATAAGCATCAATCCAAATCCCAAATGACAAACACACTTACACACTTTCCGGAAACGGAAACGATGAGAGACCAACAACAATTGAAATCAATTTAACATCTCCCTCTCTCTTATTTATCTTGCAGTTTAAACGTAGTAAAACTGACCGTTGGCCAACTAACATTGAGACTTGGCAATCTTCATCTTCATCTTCATCCTCTTCATCATCATCACCACCACCAACTTCAACCAATAAGCAACACCAACAAATGAAATCATCCGCATCAACATTAAATATGAAAGAAATCCTTACACCTACAGCTCAAAGTAAGTTGATTACGTGGGCGGACTGTGGTGTGTTAATCATGTAATCAGCTAATTAATTCAATTGTCTTGATTATTATTATTAGATATCAAATGTAACAATCGAGGGGAAGGGAAAAGTTTTACATCCATGATAACATTACCTTCAGGATACTCAGTCCCACCCATTTTTGAGGATTACATTGAAACCAATAGAGAGACATCATCATCTTCATCATCATTAGCATCCTCTCAAGCCGATTGCTCAATGACTCTTGTCTCATCATCTTTATCATCCACATCAACAGCCTCAAAGATTAACATTTATAATATGAAGATCAATGATTTTAATAAATGTGGAGTTAAATCAGAGAGATCAGCTGATGGAAAGGTGAGTTTCGGCCATTGGTCAGTTTTGAAGAAGAAAAGTTGTAAATTGAGTATTTTATTATTCTTTAGGAGTGGATGTCAGTTACTCTTAGAATTCCCTTTATTTCCGGTCTTCGAACAGCTCAAGATGAACATATCGTTATTGTCTGTCGACCACAAGAACCTGTGATGGCTAAAAGTTCATTACTCGATTTTAGGACCAATGTGTAAGTATTGGAACTTTTTCATTCGAAGGAAAAATCTAATCCATGTTATCTAAATAATTCAGTCATAGGCCAGTGAAAACTGTTTACAGTAGTTTGGAACCCGAAGTCGACGTAAAAGTGGGACTATTTGCGAAACCCGCTGGTATGTCCTACTATTCAGAAGAGATACCGATAGATGGTCTGATCGAGGTTGGAGAGGAGTTACAATTTCGAGCGATAGTAAAACCCGGAGACGGTAAGAGAGAGAGAGAGAATTTTGATGAAAAAAAAAGTTCGAGAGAAAAGAAAATCTCATCAATTATATTTTCACTTTCAGGGTGGAAATTTGCTAAACTAACTGACCTTAAGGTTTACATGGTCCATGAAGGAGAGACAGACTCTGATCTACTAGATGACCACACCTCTAGCTTGACCTCAACCACCACCACGATAACTAACAAGCTGATGAAAAAGAAAGGTAAAGATGAATTATCATCATCAACGGGAGGTAATAGTAAATCACATAATGAACTAAGGAAAGACTCTAAAGGTAAAGATAGTGGAGGAATAGTAGGAGGAGGAGGAGGTAGTGAGGGTGGTAATGGGCGAGGTGGAACAGGTATTGGTCATGGAGTGGGAGGAGTTGCAACCCTAGTACTGGACAATGGCTGCCGGAACCCTGTTTACTCAGCATTAGCACCTTATCATCCTTATCGTGATACGAGCAACCCCCTTGCGGTTGCATTCAATTTCAAAGCATTCATGTTTCAAGATATGCCAGATGATGGCTCAATCAGGATAACAGCCAAAATCATGGCTTGTTTAGAGGAAGCTGATTGTTCACCGGTAAGAGAATAAATATTTTTACAACAATCAACAACAACAATTAAATATCATCATCTTCATTATCATATGATAATCATTATCTTCATCTTCATGAGCCTCTCATTTTCATCTGCAAATTGAGAAGGAGGGATAAATATGATGAGAGAGAGAGAGAGAGGAGCCATTACAAGGGAGGAGTTTCAATGTATTAAGTTTACAATGTGAACAATTAACGAATTGCAATTTAATTATTATTGCTAAATGATTATTATCATCATCACTTGATTACTTTTGTGATTGCACTTATGTCATCAAGCTCATTTATCAATTAACTAGAATTGAACAACTTACCTGAAGAAATTTTTTCTTACCTGTTTTTTGCTGTTATTTTATCTTCGACTTCATAGTAAACTTTATCTTCCTTGGTCATCTTCTTACTCTCTCTCTCTCTCTCTCTCTCTCTCACTTACTTTCTCTGTCAACAAAAGAGTCTGCAGAAGCTAAATGATGATAATAATGATGATAATCTTCAATAATCTGACAAAACTGTTGCAAAGGTAAAAAGTTTGTTTCAAGGTAAGATCAAACTCTTGGATCTTTTTTTTTCTGTGTGTTTGTTAACAACCGACCGATGGTCAAGCGCATGAGAACCAAATGTAAGCTTCAGTAATTGCAATTATCTTTGGTGGATGAAGATGAAGATAATGAAGATGAGTTTAAGTTTCTTTTTTTTAACGATTTGATGGTTATCTTTATCTTTCTCTCATTTATCATCATCACTTTTTATTTCACATTGGATATTATTCAGAGCCTATGTTTGGATAATGGTCAACAAGGTTATGGTCGAAGACGAAGAAGAAGAAGAAGAAATATTTCAACGAAAGATAATCATCTTTATCATCTTCATCTTCATCATCACAAGCAATTAAATGTATCAATTAAAAGGCAACCTGATGATAATGATAATGATAGTTCATTGGAATCCCAATTGTATCAATTTAATGATAACCCGGAAGTTATTCATTCCAATGGGAAATTATATTCATCTGGAAATCTGAGTAAATTTTCACGAAATTTACAGGTCAGGGTGGGGCTACCTGGCTACACCAAAAGTAGATACGTTAATACTGTTAAACTGACCAGTGGTCAATATTTTCAAAGTAAACAAAATGATCACGAGAAAAAATTGGAAACAATAAAAACAAATGTAATTTAAAACAATTGAAAGCAAAGTTTTTTTTGTATATTTATAATTGTTGATTGGTAAATTGTAATTTTTGTTTTTAATTGTTGATGGTTGATGTTGGTTGATGTTGATTGATTTTGATGATGTGAGAGGAGGAAAGTTGTAGTTTTGTTGTTGTTGTTGTTGGTGTTGTGGTATGGATGTGTGTTGAATAAATATTATTATTAAATTGATTTTATGTTTTTTGTGTTTAATTAGTTAATTGATTTTTTTTGTTGTTTTGTTTTACTTGTTGAAATTAATTGAATGAATTAAGTGCAAGGTAAAGTCTCATGGCTGCGGTAAACTCGAGGTGGGGAAATGGTCCAAGCGAGGGCATTAACGGGTATGGTACAGAGGTTGGTGATGATGCTGCAGCAGCAGCCGCTGCGGCTGCGGCTGCTGCTGTGGCTGCATGTGAATAGTCTGAGGATACAGGGCTTGCAGGGGTTCCAGTACTTGCACCGCTGATACTTCCCCCGCCGCCACTACTGCCACTGCCGTTTGTTGTCACTGTGTCACCAGTTCCTGGAGTTAGTGATGTTGGTCCTCCTCCTCCTCCTCCTCCTGCAGCTGCTGCTGCAGCGGCGGCGGCAGCTTGATGGTGAAGATGGCTTAGGAAATTTGGTGTCCATGGCTTATGTAAACCTAAACCTGGTGTTGGACGAGCCACCTCTTCAGGGCTGACCGGGGGCTGCTGGTAAAGTAACGGTAAACCAGGATGAGGTCGATACAAGATCGCTTTCTGTAAGGATGTACACTGATTTGCAATGTTATGTAAATTGTGGGCGGTGGTAGTCGTACCATTGCTAATATGATTGTTATTTAATTCAGGTAATGAGGTAATAAAATCTCCTGATCCACCGCCGGTTAGGTGATCATGGTGGAGATGATGATTCTCCTTTTTGGAATCTGAATACAAACAATGAGAGAGAGAGAACAGAAAATAAGCAAAAACGAAAAAAATTTTAATTCATTCATGTCAATCATTCATTCAAATTGTAAGGTGAAAATGTGATGGTGGGAAAATAATATGATCATGATGATTTAGAATTTGAATTTACAACTCTAATTGTTAATTTGATTGCTTGTTGATTGTTTTTAATGAATTTCTGATGATAATCAAATACAATCACAACACTTACACTTAACAATTGAACAGTTAAATTATTTTCATTTTGTACTAAAAATTGATCAGCTGAAAATGAGCTGATTAGCATTTCTTTTTTTTCGCCATCTAAATTGTTTACAATTAACTAAATTGTACCCAATTCTTTCAAGCTATTACTTAATTGTTTACTATTTAACTTTCAAACATTTAAATTGTAAATTAGAGGAAAACTTTTTATAAACTAACATAAAACAATTTAACAAACAATCAACATCTCATATAATTAACATTAATAAATTGTAATTGATTGAATTAAACAGTCTTAAATTACTTGTTAATTGTTGTTTGGTTAATTATTATTGTTTGTTTATTTTCATTAAAAAAATATTGAGTGAAAATAAAACAAAAAATTGAAATAATCAAGTTGATCCTTTCAAGTTAATTGTTGATTATCATGCAATTGTATTGTTTCAATCAACCAGAATAATATGAATTAACAAAATAATCAGTGATATCATGATTGAAAATTGATCATTAATTGTAATAAGAAAAGGAAATTGATTAGTAAAAAATTATTGATCAAATTAAATTAAAGGTAAAACAATTGTAAACAATTTACAATACACACAAGAGATACAATCACTTTAACTATATTTAGTTGGGTGATGATTATTATTAATATGATCAATGAAATGGGTGTGGACATTATCATCCTATTATTTATCATCCTTATCATCATCAATTGTGTAACCTAATCTAAAAGCTACTACAAACATACAGGATAACCTAAAAAACTACACAGAAAAAAATAGGAACCATAGGATATTATGTCTACCTATTGATATGGACAAGGTATTTGCAAGAATTGCAATTGATTATTTGCTAAATTGCATTTCCAGGTATTTATCATCCTCATCCTGATCCTCATCCTCATCCTCATCTTGTAATAAGATTATTTTGACAAATGACAAGATAGAGAGAGAGAGAGGAAAATAAAAGGATATCCACAATCAATCGAGATGTCGAAGGTAAATCGAAAAGGAAATGGACATTAAATAAAGGTAATGGTAGGGAAAGAAGATGAAGATGATGATGATGATGATGATGATGATGATGCTAATAGAAAGATCATCTTCTTGTAGACATCATCATCTTCATCTTAATCTTTGTCACAAGTACAATAGAAACACAAAAGGTATTGGAAAATAAAACAGATTGAGGTTAGTTTTTTTTACGCACATACAACTCGCCTCTTTTTACAGGTAAATCGGGATGAAAATTGTCTTATAGCGTGTTCATCATAATCATCGTAATCATCTTCATCTATTATTATCATCATGTTATCTTCACACTAAGTATTATCATCTTTCTCTCTCTCTCTCTCCTTTCTTTTTGTTGTTGTTTATTTGTTTATTTACCTTCGAGTTTATCAACAGATGCCCCTGGTGAATGAAGAATCAATTCTTTTCTTGGACTAATAGTTGATGGTCCGTGAGAGTCATCAACAATATCTAAAGGTTCATTGTCCAATGAGTAGTGGTCATTCAACATCACCTTATCATCTTCTCGTCTTCCTCCACCACCCGATTCTGATCCACCTCCTTCTCCACCCTCTCCACTTCCTCTACCATTTTCTTTAATCTTATCCCCATGAACCGATGAACATATTGTACGAGTCTCAGGATCTGAATCAAAGGAAACTAATCTTCGTGGGCTGCACATAACCAATTGCCTGGAAGCGAATAGAAAATTAAAGTTAGTGTTCTTTTTTTTACTCGAAAAATTAAAAATTCTACTTGACCATCGAAATGGACATTGGTCACTTTTACACTTTACTTTGTACTTACTTTTTACTACTTCTCCCGGCACCAGTTTCTCTGAAACCTTTTGCAAACGGATTGTTGTCAATTTTTAATTTCGTTATCTAAAAAACAAACATCAATTAGAAATTATTAATAACAATTTAGAACTAAAATTAACATTGGAAATTTGAACATTTCGTTGCGAAAACGAAACAACGACAATCAATACAATCAATTTCGAGACCAACGATCGACAATTCCTTAAATTTGTCCAATTGACAAATTTCATTGATCAATATCATTTTCCAAACTAATATGATAATTGTGATGGTCATTTGCTGGAAAATGTTTTTATAATGACCAATACCTAATTGATATGGTTGGTTGATGTCACATTCATTTCATTACGAGATATTAGTTACCTTGTTATCTGATGAAATTGTCATCATCATAATCACCTAGAGATGAAAAGTTTTTTTATCATCTCTCACTTTTTCTCTGTCTATTTTCATTTCTATTATTTTTCTGGTTCTCTGATTAAAGTGATACATTTCAACTGAGAGATCTGATAAATTAATGAATAAAATTAATGAAAGAAAAAGCTAAATAACCGTTACCATTAAAATCTAGGTGTTAGATGGAAAGATAAACAGAATTAGAACTTTTTTCAGTTCGAAATGACAAAAATATACAAAAGAGAGAGAGAGAGAGAATGGGACATGACCAATGTCCACTCTCAATGATCATAACTATTATGTAAATTAATTTAATTCACTTGAAACAATCAGATAATCAAAGTTTTCAAAGTGATACATTCAACGGCTTTCAGCTGAATCTTTTTCTAGGCAAACACTTTCTCCTCTAACTGATTAACTAATCATCATCAAACCTGTAATCATAATTATCAACACAATTAACACAATTTTAATCAACCTCACGTTTTGACCTGACACTTGGCTCATCATCATCATCATGATAATAATAATATTTAAACCCACCTCACAATAACCAGGTAAAGGTGGAAACTTGAAATCCAATAGATTATCATTATACTGACCATTAAAAATGATTGACCAACACAAAACAATTGATCAGTTATTTTCTCAAACCTTAATCATTAACCTTTCAAATGATATAATAAATAAATTCAGGATTATATGAGTAACTAAATTGTCAACTATTAATTAAGGGATTATAATGAAAATGATATCGTATATTATTATACATATACTTATGGGTATCTAGATAATGTTTAATTGTCGGTTCTTGTGGTTACTAATTGTTTACGATTTAAATTTCTATTGTTGTTAGTTGATTGTTGGATGTTTACGACAACATGTTATTGTTAATGATTAACCAAGAGTGAACATTTTTCACTCGAGTTCAGAACAAAACTTTTTACTTCTATAACTTTTTATCGAGTCCCCCAATTCTCATTGTAATCGAGTTAATTGTTTACTTTGGGAAGTTTATCTTTTCATCCTCATCTTTTTTTTTGTTTGTTGGAGAAAAAAAAACAAACTTTTCTATTATTATTGTTGTCGTTGTCGTTGTTGTTATTGTGGTTTTGTCATTGTTGTTGATTGTTTATCATTGTCATTGTCTGTTAATCATTATGATTATATACACAATGAGATATCATGATAATATGATTATAAGCTATATATAAATGTTCAATGGTTAATTGTTTATGATTATTACAAACCTTTTCATTTTGATAGGCAGTTACGGCAATGAATTCAGTTTCTTTGAAAACGTAAGTTCTGAATGTACTATGAGGCAATTTCATGAGGTTATTTGTCCTGACTAGGTGAAAACGAGGTTGATATTTGTGCATCGAGTTCAATATTGTCTGCTTATTGAATTGCAATTGCAATTTTCGTTGAGATTGATTGTTAGAAATGTTAATTTTTCCAAGATTGATCCATGATTACATTTCCAATGAGCATTGAGATAGAAAGGAAAGAAAAAAGTTGGAAAAGCCAGTGAGTATTCATGTTCAATGGTTCTGCTTGGGTAAAGGGTTTTTTTGTTGTTCGATAAAGATAAAGTTCTAATTATTATACTTACGAATCCATGTTTATCGGCTATATTATTGGTTAACTTTAATTTATGAAATGAAACCGTTTTCTGCATCCACTGTTCACCCGTTGACGGCGAGTCCGGGTGTATGTACATACGCTTAGGCATCTCCGGGTCAGCTTTGCCCGCCATCATCCAACGGGAATTGTGAAACTTGTACCTACAATCGTCAGCGGCCACAATGTCCATTAGCATTATATATTTGGCCTTTTTATCAAGTCCAGAGACTCGGACTTTGAAGGGTGGAAACATCCGCCTGTCAATATAAACATGATAAAAGAAAATCAATCAATTTAGAATTGGCTGGAATTATTTTATTACAATTCGACTCGAGAAAATATAATAATAATAATAATGATAATAGTAAAGTTCAAACTCTGGTTCTGACTCAGTATGAAATAGACATTGAACTTTTCCTCGATTGATTAATTGTTAAGGGGAAAAAAGTGAATGATTAACGAACAATTAACTTAATCATGTTCCAGATCAAATTTCAAGCTTTCAGATTCAGTTGCTGTTTAGTGATTGATTCATTGTCTCAATTTACTTGATAACTTTGTATCAGATTGATTATGATACTGATTGAGATGATGAAAAGGTTGATGATTAATGAAATAGGGAGAGAGAGAGGAAAGAGGCGGATGATGAAGATAATGATGATAATGATGAAGATAAAAACATTTACCAAAAGGTGAATAGGTAACCCAATGGGAGTGAGAATTGAAACAGATGAAGATGAATCTCAAATAATAGGTTACATCAAATAAGGGTTTTCTCGTCATCATCCTTTCCAATTATCATCCTCATCTTTCATCCTAATCATCAATAGCCACCACCAGCATCATCATCATCACGATCATCATCATAATAGTAAAAACCTTTTACTTTACTCCTCCCAAAGGATGAGGATATGATATTCCTTTGCAAAGTAAATATCGATTTTAATATTTTTCTTTACTTTCATCATCTTGATCATCTTATTATCATCATTATGAAGCGCAAAAAATACAGATGATGATGATGATAATATTAATAAAAAGATGATGAGGAAGATCATCTCAAGATATATAACTTTTTGCATGAGAAGAAGAAAAAAGAATGACCGAAAATTGAGAATGACAAAAGAAAGAGGAAAATGAAGATGAAGATGATGAAGAAGATAAAAATTATGAAGATCAATAGATAGTCTCTCTCTCTCTCTCTCTCCTCATCATCATCAGCATCTTCCTCATCTTCCCTTTCTACCTTTTCTCATTGTTTTCTTCTTAAAAATCATATAGCCATGACATATTGTTAACAAGAGGATTATCATCCTAATCATCATCATCATCATTATTATTATCATTATCAATTATAATTCATCAGGAAGATGAAGATGAAAAGAATAAGAGAGAAAAAAGAAGAAGGAAAAAAGTTCGTATCAATAGAGGCTTGAGCTTCTTTTTTTTTTCTCTATTCGGTATTTTTTCTGCTCTAACAATAGATTTTGACATTCGAATATAACAAAAGTAAACAAATATTATACTTCGGGTCAATAAGATGACTTGTAATTGGTTATCATCATCTGATTATATTGTCATCCACACCCACCCACCTTATCATCATGATAACAATGAGTAACATATATCACAAGATATGAAAAAAATAACAGGAATCATATTTTTCATCAATGGAAACAGATACAGAGTCAATAACTTATATCCAAAGCCAGAAGAGTGAGAGCAGAGAGAGAGAGAGAGAGAGAGGGGGTATTCATTTTCTGTTTGAATTTCGAAAGGAAAAAAATCATATTGGAACAAAAAGAAAATTTCGAATAACCAATATTTCTCTCTCTCTCTCATACTTTTCCATTCTCATTCTCTCTCCTCCTCCTCCCTTTCTCATCTTCCATCCTCCCACTTTCCCTCTTCCCACTCCACTTCCTCCTCTCCCATAATGATAATATACCAGACAAAATACATAACTAATAATAATATCATATTATCATATTAGTTTCTCATATAGATCAATATTATTGGATTTTACTTTTCTCTCATATCTTTTTATTATTGGACAAACTATTCAAGCATTTACACAAACACAGAGAGAGAGAGAGATATTATTGATTATAGGTAAAAATTATGATAATATTTTCTCATCACCAACATCATTATCATCATCATTTAAATTGCGATAATATTTCAATATCATTATCATCATCATGGTGTTTTCCTCGGAATCAATTCAAGTTTATCATGAAAAAGTAAATGTTTCTCATTATTTCATCTTGTTGACTTTCACTTAATTGATCATTTTTGTTTCTTCTTCAACAGTTAATTAATCTGATTACAAATTGGATGACAATGTGTTAGCTTATGATTTAGTTAATTGTCACAGGTAATTAGTAACATTCAACTTATCATAAAATATTAATCGTGTTATCAATTGTTGTCACAATTTAACCTTGATTCTGATAATCAATTGAGTATTGATTGTTGTTATTTTATTTTAATCATTACGAAAGTATCAATTTAGTTTGTTAATTGTTGCTTTGATTGTTAATCATGATTAAGGTAAATATAACATATCATACACGTAATCATCATTAAGGTGATAATATTGATTATTATTATTATTATGATTTAGTTAATTGTTGAAGGTTAATTTTCAAGGTAAATATTTGAACCAGAAAATAAGTCGATGTATATTTTGTTGTAATTAAACAAATAGTTAACAATTTAATGTGAATTAAAATATAAATTGTAATCAACGAGTTATCATCATCATCCATGATCATTAGGATCATTTTTTTTAATGATAATTATGATGATTAGAAGATGATAATTAGTAAATTATCTTGACATTTAAGAGGAAAACATTTCTAAAGTAATTGAGTCTCTGAGTTAATGATTATGATAATTAACTGTTTATAAATGTTGTTGATTGATTGTCAATGATAGTCTTGATTATTGTGTTAATGATCAGTTGATTGTTAGTACAATGATTAAGTAAAAAAAAATTGTTAATCATCACGTTTAGTGTTGATTTGGTTCAATCGTTGTTGTTAATTGTTACATTTCATTTTCGACAAGAAAAAAAAATAAACAAGAAACGAAAAAGTTTCTTCCAAGTTGCTTAATGATTAAGTTAATGATTTCGTAAACTGTATCACAATTTAGGTTAATGAATTTAAATCACTTAGCAAGTTGTTTAATTATTGTTACACTGGCAGCAAGAGACAAGATTGTAAATATAAACGTAGTTAATTAGTTAACAATCAAGTTAATTGTCTCAAATTGTTTGGGTTTGGAGTAGAAACTTTTTTTTCTAGGTTACTCTGGTTTCTCCTATTGTATTTATCTTATTATCTGGGTTGACAATCAATGGTTAATGTTTACCTGAAACATTCATGATGTCAGTTGATTATCAGTTAATTGTTTAAATTGAATGTTAATCAGATAAAATTTTCTTGGTAATTATGTATTAGTCTTGCTGAGAGTGTATTTGTGTGTGTGTCTTGTGTGTGTGTGTGTGTATTTGTGAGAGACACGCAAACACGGAGAGAGGATAAGGATAAAAGTCGCAGAGGAAAATATTTCCATGGAAATTATTTTATTTTTTTTCTCCATTTTCTCTCTACCTCTCTCACTCCCCCAACTCATGAATCTCTTTGGGTATCATCATTATCTTCATCTTCATCTTCATCGTTTGTCTTGCACTTTGTCACACGTAAGTTATTCTTGGCTTAACTTGAAACTTTTCGCATTTGCAAAAACCTCACTTTGATTAACGATAAACACACCAAAAGGTGAAACAAAATCCACCCTCTCTCTCTCTCTCTCTCTAAATCATCAGTATGATCTTACATTCAGATAGTATTACTCATGGTGGTGTATGTATCACCATAGATGGTGACTAGACAACTTTTAGCACGATAACATTTTATCAACGAAAACCTCATGAGGTAAGACGAAGATGAGAAAAGAAACAATTTTTTTTCCTCCATGATAACGATCAGTGAAAATTGAATGGAAAAAGTTTTCAGAACTTTTCTTGAAACTTTCTTATCTTCCAAGTGTTGACTTTGTGTCATGTTCAACACACATACACACACAGAATTTGATATTTCTCCTTAATTCCCCCTGTTCCAAGAAAGATAAATATGATAGATAATCATCATGTGTACACTTTTCAACAAAATATTTGTTTCTTTTTGCACTGAGACAAAAGAAAAAGATTAGAAAATAAGATTCAGAATTTTTTTTTCTTTTTTTCTTTTTTCTTTTTTCTGGTTTTTCTTTTTTCATGCTCTGCATCAACTGAGACTGAACTTTATCATGAAATGATACACTGAAAATCTTTATGAATGCGCAAGTTTTCATGTTAATGTCAAAGATAATCAATACAATGAATAATATCAACACTGAGTGTGTCTCTTGATGATTGATTGTTTTTCTTTTTTTTTCTTTTTTCTTCATGATTCTCAATGAGAGGCTCGATAACGAATAATGAGAAAAGTGATAAATCGATAGACGAACAGATTAACTGCTAGAACCCAGAAGGTTCGTCGAAGATAATCATCTTTTAGATTGTAGATAATCATCACACCCGATTCGACTTCGGTTCTATTGCCTCCTGCACCTTTTGCTAGCCCTCCGCCGACGGAATTAAACACTGCTGTGGTCAGAGAATCGGTTATATCTCGAACTTGTTTAATTTGTTCTGGTGAATCTTCATCTCCGGTTATTGTTTCAAATGCGATGGCAAACATTTTATTAAGCCATCCCTGGAACATTGATTTCATCATGTCAATTTTTTCCATTGTCCCCTTGCCACAGCGAAAAAATCCATACAACGAAATTAGGACACCCTCGAAACCGAACCTTATGTAGGAAAGGTTGGTCAACGGTCGCAGGAGTGCCGGCATTGTCTCAATTTTAACCAGAAAACCAGAAAATAAAAGTAAAGGTAAACAAGAGGCAGGGCCTAGGAAAACGGCTGCGGTCACATTGTGTACGAAAAATGAGCCGATCGCAAGTCCATGTGATTGGCCTATTAGAGCGACCATTACGCAAATGGTCAAGTAAGCACTGAAACGGTCCCACTCTTTGATCTGACCATTCATGTAATAAGTGATTGAAACGTAAAGAACGGAAGTGATGACCTGAAATGGTAAATCGGCAAGAGTTCGAGCTAGAAAATAAGAGCCAACACCATACCAGCCGTTGGACTTTTCTTTGATAAAAATGGACAATTCCAGGGGGAAAGTGATTAACATTGGTGTTAAAGAGCCGAACATAAGTAAGAGGAGAGAGAAAAATAGAGCGGAAAAGTTGTCCAGTAGGCCTTTAGCTTCGTCGAGTACTTCGTTTGATGCTGTGCGAATTGCATGAATATCAAAGGTTGACCCAAGATCGGGTGGACATCCACCGTAACGACCGATGTAAGGTCCATAAAACCAGCCCAGAAAAAGTGCCATTGAAATGTGAATCCCAAAACGGGAGGCGGTCAGTAAGGGGTCACGAAGAATTAAGATGAAAGCTCGTTGAAAGAGGATAATAAAATGCTTAAAATGTGGATACGAGGCTCGAAATGCTGAATGGTTCAAAATTTTCTGATCTAATGTTTCTCGTTCAAATTTATTTTCAAAAGCCGTTGGATTGGCAAGTAGGATGTTCAAAGGTTCGAGGCCATGTTCACCTGAGGCTATTTCAATTAGAAAATCACCCGGGCTAGTGAAAGCGGGACAAGGTGTACCAACTTTGTCGAGATGGGGAACCAGTGCTTCTGGTGGACCATCGTAAACAAGTTGACCTTGACTTGAGAGAACGTAAATTTTGTCAAAAAGTTCAAAAATTTTCATATTAGGCTGATGAATGGTGACCATTATGAGCATTGACGGCTTAGCTGAGGCCAAAGATCTTAATATCTCAATACAATTATATGAAGCGGCGGAGTCAAGACCCGAAGTTGGCTCGTCAAGAATCAAAATGTCCGGTCTTGAGATGAGCTCTTGTGCAATTGAGAGTCGTTTCTTTTGACCACCCGAAAGTTTACCAACTCGAGTGGACATTACATGATCGAGACCAAAAAGAGATAGAATATGATTTGAGGCCAAATGGTGATAATTTGTATCGGAAACTGTGAACCTACGAACATCCAATCTGGCCGATGGTCCCTCTTGAGACAAGGCCTTATAAGCCTTGTAATAGTTGGACGCGACCAGAGTGGACGTTTGTAACCTCGAAGCATAAACTAGTGTCTCTTTGACCGTTAGAACGTCAAAATAGTTATCATACTGAGGGATAAAGGCCATATTTAAACGAGCACGATCACCTGACAGATAAATGTCACCTTCAGTTGATCCATGCCAACGGTTAGCGATACAATTGATCAAAGTTGATTTACCACATCCCGACGGTCCCATGATAGCGATCAACTGACCTGACCTAAAGTTACCATCAATGTTTCGTAAAATATATTTAAACTCCGGTTTACGGCCAATATAACGGACATAAGGGTTAACCTCAACCGGAACTGAAAAGTTTTCCCAGTAAATAGTAAAATCGGTGAGTAAATTATTCGAGATGGTTGAAACAACCGCTTCCGGGTAAATCTTATTATCAGAATATGAGTTTTCCTCCATGTTCAGCTCTTGGAGTTTTTCCTCTTCCTTTTGGTCACTTTTTTCAACGGGAACGGGAATGAATTGGTCACTTGGCGAATTTGGTTTAGATGAGTTAAGATGATCAATCGAGTCAGAATTTGAGATTCGAATCATTCAGAACACATATAAATCCACTGGATGGAATTTAATTTTCGATGGTTAACTTGATGGTTGATATTCTTTAATTCAATCATGACTTTTAGAGAGAAAAATTCTGCTCTTGATGTTTTCCTTTTTCTCTCTGTTCACTTTTCCTCGAATTTGAACAATTAAATCTAATTATTAATCGAAGGTTTTTCTTTTACTATGGTGACACTTTCTTATAATTCACTTTGAGTTAATGAAAATTCAGGTTAGACTCAATTAGAAGATGAATGATTAAAGTTAATTGTTATTATTTCGATATTTTTATCATCCAAATAATCGTTAGAACTTTTTTCAACTTGTGTCTACTCAATTCGACAATTTTTTCTTTTCGAGGTTAATTTATATTCAAATGTCGAGAGAAAGGTTATCATCATTATCTTCGTCTCTAATCGTAATCAATAGTTACTTACAAACGATTTCAAGTCTAACCTCGTGCTCTCTTAATGTTCATTGATCGACCTGGTTCGTTATTGAGATGAAGAGAAAACAAAAAGAACAGAAAACAAAAGTTCTAAAAAAACAAGAAGTAAAATCGATTATTTCAATTTTTTCTTCTTCGTCTTATCATCATCATTAAATTATGAAAATCGATTTATCAAAACAGTTAAAAGTTCTAAAAGGTAAACAATCAGCTTAATTCCAATTACAAGTGCATCAATCATCCAGAAATTTAGAACTTTTTTGTCGAAGACAAATAAAATCATTCGAAATCGAAATTATCTCCACACACAAATATCCAATCTCTTTAATTACCGAAGGTAATAATTCCCAATCGCATGATAAGTTCATAAAATCATCTAATTTATATCATAAATTTTCACGATTCTCAAGGTTTATCAGTTTTCATCAGTTCGAACTCAATTAGAACTTTTTTTCTTTCGAAAGTCAAATCGATTATTATTATTATTTTCTACTTCTCTTTGATATGTATTAAATTAGTAACACTGGTTGTTAACTATTTGTTCAATTAATGTGCAAACGAAACAATTTCAATTACAATTAACCAGAAAATAATTCATTGCCTTAATTAATTACATAACCAATATGATCATCATGAGATTTATTTTTATCCTCATTCAATTGATGATAATTAATGACATCAAATCGTTGCCATGGTTATCATGATGAAGATGAAAACTTCAAGTATTAGATAAATTAACTTGTTGTTTGTTATTTTCAACAATCAATTATGATCATTATCATGGTTATTGATTGAAAATCATGATGATTCAATTTTCAGATTGATAATTATATTTATCATGATATTTAGGGAAAAGGTAAAGGTTATAAGATACACCTTTTAATAGTAATGATCACAATTTAATTGTTTCTATTTTCAAATCAATTGGCTCAAGAGACACAATTGATTTAATCAAATTTTCTCCCCAGAACGTAACCATGGTAACCATGGTATATAAATTTTACAGTTCGATACAAAATTGACTTCTCAAATGTGAAAACAATTAATTCTTTGATTCATAATTAGTATTGATGAATGAAAGATGAAAAACTTTTGGCTTTAAATTTGTTTCCACTTAAAATTTTTCCTCTCTTTCGGTATTGATAATATTTACTGTCTATTTTTTCATTCTCTTTCACATAATCAGCATCATCATTTTTGAAAGATGATAATGATGATGATGATGAGAAGTATATCATCTCTCTCTTTCTTTCTTTCTTTCTTTCTTTTTTCCATCTCTCTATCATTATATCTTCTTACAAAGTTGCAAACTTATTGCAATTTTAAAATTAACATGAAGAGCAAGAGAGGAGATTAAGAGATATGATAAAAAAACACTAATCCACTAATCTTGCAGATTCCGTCGCCAGGGAATCAAAGAGACATCTTTGTACTCGGTGTAATTATGATGAGAAAAGGTATCTTCATTTTCATCATCATAGGTTGATGTTCAAGATGATGAGATGATGCTGATGATCAGCAAATTGCTTTAGTCTCTCTCTCACATCAGCAAAAAAAAAGTAAGATAAAATTCTGGTCTCTCTCTCTCTCTCTCTCTCTCTCTCTCTCTCTCTCTCTCTCTCTCTCATGATGATAATGACGATGAAGATGGAGATGAAGATGATAGCAGAAAAGTGAGAAGAAAAAAGAAGCTTCTCTCGTCAGGTTATAAAAGAACGAGAGAGAAAAAGAATAAATTAAATCGTATATACATAATACTTGCCTCTCCATCTCATCTTCATCATCCTCATCATTTCTCTCTCATCTTCCATATTAAACATTATCTTCTTCCCTTTTGCCAAGTAAGTGCTACATAAGCCCGATCATCATCTTGATCCTGTGACAGTTTTTTTTTCAAAGCTGTTAAGGTTTCAACCTATTCATTTGCAGTATCACTGATTTTCTGGCTTCTTAATTGTAACTTGTAATCTTGCACCTTGTAGCATCCTCATCCTCATCCTCATCCTCACCATCTTAATCTTAATCTTTATCCTTAATCTTCAATTTCAGTATAAATATATATGATTATCCATTGCTATTTGAATTAACATTGACAACAAGAGTAACAAAAAAAAACAAAGTTAATCGTAACATCAGTTGAATTGTCACCAAGAAAATAAAAATGATTACCAATTATCATCAGAATCAATTGATTAACTGTCAATTGCAATTGATGATCATCATCATCTTGTAATGATAAGGTTACAAGTAACAATTTTTCTGGTGACATTTTGTACTAGTATTTTTCATACAGGGTAACCATTTACTTGACCCACTGATGACATTTTTTGATAATAATGATGATGGTTAACTTAAATTGCTTTCACTTTAAATAACTGTTATCATCATTGGCAATCATTTAAATTGATAGTTGTTAACTTTGGATTGGTTATTTATGTGTGTCTATGTGAATACCTTGAGGGTTGTTGTTGTTGTTGTTGTTGTTGTTGACAAGATGATCATATTGATTGTTGTATACTGTTGTTAAGTTGATTGTTGATTGACAACAATCTTGACTTGTTGACAAGCTGATTTATTGATTTGATTGGTAAACAGTTTTGTCCCTTTGAAAAAATGTGAAACATTAATTGTTTTGTCCTCTCAATGTCCATCATCTTGATAATAATCAACAAGATGAATTTGCAAATTGTCATTTGTTGTTTTACATTTTTAAAACAATTGAAAAGATTAACATTGATTATCACAATCAATTTTAATCACAGTTAATACTTTGAGTGTGTCTACCCTTACATCATTGATAACCATCAATCGATAGCAATTTACTGATCAATATCAAGGAGAGAGAGAGTAATTGAATTAAAGTAATCATTACATTCATTTGACATTAAAAAAATACTATCATACTCAAGGGATGAAGATGAGGATGCTAAAGATGATAAAAAAACTACAGCTTATGCAGTGGGTATTGATGTCGATGATGAGTATGAGAGAGAGAGAGAGAGAGATGATAATTTTTTTACTCTTTTCTCTCTCATCAAGGATACTAATGGTTCATCTGATGATGATGATGATAAACCAGGAAGATGAGGATGCTAAAGATGATGTGTAATATACTCAAGGGATACTAATAGTTGATTGAATGATATTGTTAATTTTGTGATCATTTTGTTGTTGATTAAACATCTGATAAGGATTAGGATTAACGATGAGAATTTGTTTAATATAATGAATGAAGGAAATAATAAAAAAAAATTAAAAGTTCTGTTGAGGAAATTTACTCTCATCATCTTTTTTTTTTGTTGGATTAAGGATTAACTCTTGATGAACAATACTCAATCTCAATGATTGTTTCAATAAGCTAATCTTGTAAATGGATTAACTGGATTTGTGAAATGTTATGAATGCCAAATGACATGAGTTATTAAAGATTAGGAGACAAAGATTATCATGTTGATTAGTGTGGCAAGAATTTGTTATTTTTCTTGAGAGTTAAATCATTAAATTAATCACCTAACCAGTTAATTGCTAAGATTTTTTTGATTACTTGGCTTAATTGGTGTAATTAAATTGTTGTTGTTTGGCTCAACGGAAAGTAATTCATTCAACAATTAGTAAATACTAATAATATTATTGAGAGAGAGAGAGATTAATGTAAGTCACATTTACGAAACTTTATATTTCCAGGATTAAGAGGAGGATTAAGGCGATGAGGGGATTAACCAGTTAGAGGATAAAAAACAAATTTTTTTTTGCTTCTTCGTTCATCAAATTGAACAAAAAGAGTTTACAATTAACTAATTATTTTATGTTAATTAATTGTAACAATTAAAATGGTTCGTATGTGAAGTAACCTAATCTTGAAATTGAATACGAATCCATTAATTGGTTGAGTACAATTAAATTAAGCTAATCCAAAATAATCAATTCTAATATAACATTTGAATTTATTATCAACTTGTCGTGGTGATGATTAAATGATTAATTGATTATCTTGTCAAAGAAAAAGTTTAATTCTTGATTTAATTTTGTTTTCTGGGTTAATCTTTTCACCTTGACAATTAATAAATTGCTTTATAATTTTATATATATAATCAACATAATCAGATTAACACACTTTTAGTTTACAATAATCAACCAATGATTAATTGATTAACTTTACAATTAATAATATGAAAGTAATTTAATATTTTCACCTTGAATACAAAGTTAATTAATTTGGTAAATTGTTTAATTATGAAAATTTTTGTTAACTAAATTAACAACAGTTAATGTTTTTTACGTTTTAATTTATCAAAACAAAAGTTAATTGTTGTTATTAAATCAAAGTCAATGATGATGAGAGGCAATATTAATATTGGATAATATCAATGATGAGATATTAATTAAAAACTTAAATCAAGTTAATTGTTGATCATTTTTGTTGGTTTAATTGTTTTGGTTGAAATTGTTGATCGTTTTCATGTTAATTTTTTGACAGTTTTCTCAATTTTCTTAATTGCTACTGTTTTTAGCTGGATAATATTAAATATAACACACACAGAAGATGATGATGATGATAATCAAGTTAATCATCCTGGTTAACCAGAAACAATTAACTGTCTCAATAAAAAACAAACAAACAAACTAAATCAAGTAAATTAACCAGCACGCAATGAGCACGTTACAATAAACAAACTAATAACGTTGTTGAATTTTGTGTTTTTTACAACTAAAAACAACAAACAATTTAATGGTTAACCAATTAACAGTGTAAAAGGTTAAATTGTCTAGTTAATTAGCAGAAAGAGATCAATTTATTGTCCAGTTTATATAATGAATCCAATGGTCAAGTGAGATAATATTATTTCATATGATTCAATGTAATTGGAAACCTTTGAAAGGATCAATTTGATTTCTAATACAATCAACTGTTAATATCTATTATTAATCATGTGAAGTCCCTGGTAAATGTTAAAGGAGGATCAAGATGATAAGAGGAAGATAAACAGAGAGAGAGAGAGAGAGAGAGAATGATAAATTTTGGTCTCTTTCTTTTATTTAAATGGTCATTTTCATGATGACCAATATCATATACTACATGATGTTGTAAATAATGATGACAAGACACACCAACATATTATATGTCTAATATTGG